TAGCTGAATACTTGTTAGAGAATGGTTGAATTTTAGTTTAAGGATGATTAAATATTAATTAAAGAATGGTAGAATCCAAAACATTTCTGGGAAGTGATGGGTAGGGTGTAGTTTTGCAGAAGTTTAGCAGCTTATTTTCCCAGAAGGCACTTGCTTACATTGCAGGGAGGTAAAAGTGTGAGAGCCTTCCCTTCATCCTGTTTAAGCTCCAAGTATCATTATTTCATAGTTCGCCTCCTACATACATCCCCATTGCATGCAAAGGTGAATATTTAACCCTCCCTGTATCACCATGTTGAGAACTAGGCCATGGGGAATGGGTGTCTGCTGAGATGTTTCTGTGGATAAAAAATGATCACTTTTCTGAGGCAGAGGTTCCCATCTGCCCATAATAAGAATACATATGTGACATAGAAATACATATATATAACATAGGAATGTATTTTATGTAGGAATATAATTTATGTATATAAAACCTTAAGTTCAGGCCTCAAATGTTTCCTACAAATAAATTTCTAGTAAATTAAGTTCAGATATCACTTCAATTTCTTTATGAATGGTTCAAGGCAGGCATAATAAAAGACAGAGGAAAACTCATATTCACAAAGATTTCTGATGTTTAAATTACAAATACAGACTATAAAATACTAATTTCTAATTGATTTAAACAATAAGAGATAAAATTGAAATATTGTTGACAGAGAATAAACTTGAAATTATATAAAAGCAGATTTATAGTCAGAAAATGAACTTCTAAAAATTAAAAGGGCTAGCACTGTGACGCAGTAGTATAGGTCTCCACCTGTGGTGCTGGCATCCCATATGGGTGCTGGTTCGAGTCCTGGTTGCCTCTCTTCCCATCCAGCTCTCTGCTATGGCTTGGGAAAAAATAGTAGAGGATGGCCTGAGTACTTGGGTCCCAGCTTCCACATGGGAGACTCGAAGGAAACTCCTGGCTCCTGGTTTCGGATTGGCCCAGCTCCAGTCGTTAAAGATATTTGGGGAGTGAACCAATGGATGGAGGACCTTTCTTTCTGTCTCTCCCTCTCTCTGTCTGTAACTCTACCTCTCAAATAAATAAATAAAAATCTTTTTAAAAAACAAACATTAGAAATATAATAATTAAGATTAAAATTTTATGGTAGATTAAACTCAACCATAAAGAGACTTATGACTTAGAATAGGTCAAAATAAGCTATCTAGAGTGAGGAGCAGATTATCTAAGAGATAGAAAATTTTAAAAAAAGAGACAAGGACATATGAAAGAGACTGAGATTATCTAACACATTAAAATTGAGATCCTGAAGTACTGAAAAGAGAAAATGAGAGTGTACAACAGATAAGAATTTTCAAGGGTTGATGAAAGAAATCAAACACAAATGCAAGAATTTTAGCAAATCCAAAGAAAGATAAAAAGGCTACAAATTGCCAAAATAAAAGAGAAGATTGTAAAAGTAGTCAGAGGCAAGCATTAAAGGAAGAACATTTATAGTGCTAGTTTTCATTTCAACATTAATAGAAGCAAGAAAACAATAGAATAGTAATTGGAATGTGTTGAGAGGAAAACACTATCACAATATAATCCTATATTCATCAAATATCTTTCATACACAATAGCACCAAAAGACATTTTCTCCAAACATTAAATCTAAGAGTCTGTCACAAGTGGGTCCCTACTACAGGAAATTCCATGAATTATACCACAAACCAGAGGAAATTAATCCTCAATTAATCAAAATTATTGAATTGGAGGGAGAAAGGGACAATTCTGTAATTATAGTGGAAGATTTCAACATAACTTCATTTTTAAAAATTAGACAAAAATTTTATAGTGTAATTAAATTTTGATGTATATAGAAACTCACATCTAATAACTGAAAAATACATTTTTTTTGAAGATAAAAGAATATTTGGGCTGGTGCTGCAGCTCACTAGGCTAATCCTCTGCCTGTGGCGCCAGCACTCCAGGTTCTAGTCCCAGTTGGGGCACCGGTTCTGTCCCGGTTGCTCCTCACCAGTCCAGCTCTCTGCTCTGGCCCGGGAAGGTAGTGGAGGATGGCCCAAGTACTTGGGCCCTGCACCCGCATGGGAGACCAGGAGGATGCACCCGGCTCCTGGCTTCGGATCGGCATAGCGTGCTGGCCGTACCAGCCATCTGGGGGGTGAACCAACGGAAGGAAGACCTTTCTCTCTGCCTCTTTCTCTCACTGTCTAAATCTGCCTGTCAAAAAAATATATAAAGAATATTCGTAGAACTGACTATCTAATAGACCATAAGGAAAGCTTAACCAAGTGTCAAAGATTGAAATCATACATGATATAGCTTCTAATTTCAGTGCACTTAATCCAGAAACTAAAAATAATAAAACAAAGAAAAAAGAGGGAGTAACCTCACATGTATGATATTGAGCAAATGGTCTTCCATATAATCTATGGGCCAAAGAACAACTGCAATGAAGTGTAAAACATTTTAACTGAATAATTAGAAAAATACTACATATCAAAATTTGTGGCATGCAGGTAAAGCTGTACTTTTAGAAAATTGATAGATTTTAATATTTATGTTATGAAGTTGAAAGGATATTGAGTCAAGCAACATATTAAAAATGGAAAATATTGTAGCAAACAACAGAAATTAGCAATGTAGAGAATACACATACAATGGAGAGGACCAACAAAAGCAAAACTTGGGTCTTTAAAAGACTGACCAAAGGACAGGTGTTGAGAGCAGTGGTTAAGACACCTCTTGGAATGCCCATATTCCATATTGGAGTGCCTGGCTCAAATCTTGCTTCTTCTGCTTCCTATCCAGCCTCATGCTAATGTGGATTATTAGAGGCAGCAAATGATGGCTCAGCATTTGGGTGCCTGCCAAATGTGGGAGAGGTGGATGGAGTTAGGGGTTCCTGACTTCAGCTTGGCCCAGTTATGGTTGTTGTATGCAACTAGGGAGTCACAAGATCTTCTATAACTCAGAAACAAATAGGTAAACAACTTAGAAAAATATATTATTTGCAATAGTATATTAAGAATGTAGTTATAGGGCCGGTGCTGTTACGCAGCGGGTTAACACCCTGGCCTAAAGTGCCAGCATCCCATATGGGTGCCAGTTCTAGTCCCGGCTGCTCCTCTTCCGATCCAGCTCTCTGCTATGGCCTAGGAAAGCAGTGGAGGATGGGCCAAGTCCTTGGGCCCCTACACCCACGAGGGTGTCCCAGAGGAAGCTCCTGGCTCCTGCCGTTGGATCAGCACAGTTCCAGCTGTTGCGGCTAATTGGGGAGTGAACCATTGGATGAAAGACCTCTCTCTCTCTCTCTCTCTCTCTCTGCCTCTCCTCTCTCTGTGTAACTCTGACTTTCAAATAAATAAATAAATATTTTTAAAAACAATGTAGTTATAAATCTAACCAAGAATGCAAGAACTTCTTTTAGGAAATTAAAATATTTGTGAGATATCAAAGAGCATATAAATAAATATATAAATAAAGTTAATAGCTCAGCTATGTAAAGTCACTAACTTTCCAGCAGGTCTTTTGTCCTACAAATTTAATGTAATCCAAATAAAAATCTTAATATATTTGTGTTTATGTATGTGAGTATCTGTGTTTGTAACCCAGTAAGTTGACACTAAAATATAAACAGCAATGAAAGACAAGATGCTCTTGGTGAGAACTTCAAATCAGACATTCCTGATCAAATAGACATAAAAGCTGGTTTTTGGAAAAACACATAGGCTAAGTGAATTGAATACAAAACTGATATTTAAGGGGCTGCCATTATGGTGTAGTGGATAAAGCTGCCGTCTGCAATGGCTGCATCCCATGTGGATGCTGCTCCACTTCTGATACAGCTCCTTGCTAATACACCTGAGAAAGCAAAAAGGATGTCCCAAGTCCATGGCTCCCTGCAACTACATGGAAGACCCAGGTGAAGCTCCTGGCTCCTGATTTTGGCCTGGCCTAGCCCTGGCTGTTGTGAACAACCCAAGAGTGAACCAGCAGATAGAAGATCTCTCTTTCTCTCTCTCTCTGCCTTTCTGTGTCTCTCTGCCTCTCTCTGTAACTCTCCCAAATAAATAAATCTTACAAACACACTTCTCTTTATCAAAACATACTCCAAAATGTGAAAAAATAACCTTTCAATTGAAAGAAAACTTCAATAGCTAGTCATAAAATTAATAAGGCTTGTTTTTTCAAATATACAAAAACCCTCTATGCATAAATAAAGATGGGTAAATCAATAGAAAAATGGATAGAAGACCTGAGCAAGCACTTCCAAAAAAGTAGCAGTGAAATAGTCTATATGTATGTGAAAAGATGTTCCCAAGACAAGAAAGTAAGTAAAATAAAACCACAAACTACCAACTAGCCATTCACAAATTTGGGAAATACTGAAGAAACACGCACACACACACACACACACACTCACACACAAAAAGCCCAAGATATCGAGTGGGAAAGAAAAGGAGCAACAGGAACTTTCCTGTCCTGATGATGAAAGTCTTCTTTATTCTGTCACTTTGGAAAACCATTTGTAATAACCCAGTACAATTGGAAATGTGTATTTTGTACTGTCTAGTCATTTGTCTCCTTAATGTATGTCTCAGAAAAAAATTTTACATTAGCACAGAGACATGTGCTTCTGGCTGTGCACAACTGCACAATAAGAATAACAAAACCAGAAGCAATCTAAATATTTATAAACTGGATAAATCCATTGTAATATAATAATATAATAGATCACTAAAAAATTAAAATGGGAAAACTATGTACCATTTTGTTCAGATGGGGTTTGGGTAAGTGGCACAATATCCTGTGGTTTAAATGCATAACCAGTATGTAAGCATAGCAGATACTGACTAGGGTTAAAACAGTAAGTACAACAGGCGGAACCTCTATTAGCATATTGTTTGGAACCATAATGTCTTTTCTTTCCTAAAACGCACATGGTCCCTCCAGTCCAGATTTGCAAGCTTTTTGATTGCATCCCTTAACCTGTTACCTGCTGTTCCTCCCGTCCTTGCATGTGATCAAGTGATGCTCCAAATCTGTTGTTCCTTGCACCCTTGCGGTACTGCTGTTACCACACTGGCCAGAATGCTGAACTCACTACTCTCATGTGGGCAGCCTCTCACTGGAGCTTTTCTTCACCCTGGAAGACACAAAGCATAACTGCTTCTCCCTTTCACTCCTCCTGTATTTTATTCTTTTGGAGCTAAAAAAGGAAATTGCAGGAAGCTAAGGTTTCTCCCCTAACCACGTGACAAGGTAGGATTCCCTTTATTTCCCACATTTCTGGAATCAAACTCTCCTAATGCTGTCACTGGCCATGCATATACCATGCAGCTAATGAAATTCAAATAGCAGAGCCTTCCGACGTACACAGGTTTCTTCAGGGGCTTAGAAGGGGCCCTGGCAAAATGTTCACATGGTCAGAATGAAGGTATGTTAACAAGAATGTGTTAGGAGGCCCGGTGCTGTGGCGCAGCAGGTTAAAGCCTTAGCCTGAAGTGCTGGCATCCCATCTGGGCGCTGGTTCTAGTCCCAGCTGCTCTTCTTCCATCCCAGCTCTCTGCTGTGGCCTGGGAAAGCAGTAGAAGATGGTCCAAGTCCTTGGGCCCCTGCACCTGTGTGGGATACCCAGAAGAAACTCCTGGCTCCTGCCTTCAGATCAGCACAGCTCTGGCCGTTGTGGCCGGTTGGGGAGTGAACCAGCAGATGGAAGACCTCTCTCTGTCTCTACCTCTCTCTGTAACTCTGTCTTTCAAGTAAACAAAATAAGTCTTAAAAAAAAAAAAAAAGCATGTGTTAGGACCACTGATTGCCTTCACTTTAATTTCTTTAAATCATTAGCTTCTGATGAGTGACATTAGAATGCCCAAAAGCAGGGCTGATGTTGTTAAATATGGGTTAAATTACAGCCTACAACACCGGCATACAATTTGGGCACCAATTTATTTCCTGGCTACTCCACTTCTGATCCAGCTTTTTGCTAATTCGTCTGGGAAAGCAGCAGAAGATGGCCCAAGTCCTTGAGCCTCTGTGACCCATGTCAGTGACCCAGATGGAGTAATAGATTCCTGGCTTAGACGCGGCCTAGTCCTTACATAAATGCAGCCATTTGGGAAGCGAACTACAGATGGAAGATCTCTCTCTCTCCCTCCCTCCCTCTCTCTCTGTAACTCTTGCCTTTTAAATAAAGAAATAATCTTTAAAAAATGACCAAAAGCACTTTTGATATTTGGTTAAGGGAAAATTGAGCTGGGAATACATTCATAATCAGAGTTAGTGGAATATATTTATCCACCAATGACATTCTTGATAGCTATCAATGCAGATAATTATACTTGCTATTGCTATAAATAATTATATTATGTATTTATATATAGATACATACACACAAAAATAAAGCTAGAGATGGAGAGAAAGCAGAGTGTCAGATTTTATAGTCTTAAAGTCAATTCTAGATAAAGTTAAACTGCAGAAATATTCTAATTGACCACTCTGCTGATTAATCCAGTACCAAAAAAAAAGGTGAAGGAACAGAGTTTACATTATTATTATTTAAATGTATACTACTATGTGAAGCACAAAATCTATGTAAACACTGGCAGAGAAATAATGGTGAAATTTATGGAAGCAGAAGCTTGTCTACAGAAAATTCTTGCAAACAGTCAATATATGAAGAAATTGGATAGAAATTTGTCTAAATTTACCAACAATCCTAAAAGTTTGCATGACGAATGTTCAAATGAAAAGTTTTGGCAAAATATCAACAAATTTTTCTATTAAACAGCCTGGAAGTTTGTGACAAGAATTATCAATCTATTCTCCCTATAAAAATCATATTACATAATCATTGTCATTGGAAGGGATAATAAAAGAAGAAATGAAAATATGTCAAAAATTATGAAGATATAACTGATCATTAAAAATAGTATTATTCTTATTCTAGGAAAGATTTATAAGCTTTTAAAAAAAGATTTATTTTATGTATTTTACATAGGTAGGGGTAGTGGGGGACAAAGAGAGAGATCTTTCATCTGCTGGTTCATTCCCCAAAATGTCCACAATAGCCAGGGCTGGCCCAGGCTGAAGCTAGGAACCAGGAGCTTCATCTGGGTCTCCCACATGGATGCAGGGGCCCACGGACTTGGGCCATCCTCTGCTGCTTTCCCAGGTGCATCAGCAGGGAACTGGATTAGAAGTGGAGCAAGTGGGACTCAAACTGGCACCTATATGGGATGCAGACATTGCAGATGGTGGCTTAAACCATTATGCCACAGCACCAGCCCTACAAGCTTTTGCAAATGGGTAATTTATTTTTACATTTTCTCATGTAAATAAATATTTATTTCCCTACATAATTTTATATTTCTAATCTTTCATTTTGTTTAACCTGAGGTACCCACAAAATGTATAAGCTCCAGGCTCCATAAAACCTGACTCTGCCCTTACCTGTGTCATATTTCCCAAGAGGGGCCATGCAGATGTTGGCCTTCACTGGAGTCATCATTCTGAAAGGCATATTTAGGATCCCTCTTTTGGAGACCTTGCCACATAAATGTGATCATAATAAAATGAGCCTCACCCATGGAATTTCAATCCTCTGAGTGATGGCTTGGTGTACATCTCCTTCTAACTCCGTTCTCACTTGAGCATTTCTCACTTCTTCTCATTCTCCGTGATCACTGCCACTAGGCAACATTGATTCAGTGCATCTGGCACTCCTCACTCTAGTTTTCCTTTTCCAAGAGATTTCATGCTTCATTCCCAGCCTTTGCTACAAGCTTTTACCTCCAAAGACCCCACACTGTGGTTAAACACACTTTTAAAATTAAACTCCTAAAGAATCATCCAGGAAACACTTCTTGCATGTTCCAAAACCTTTCCTTCACCTGGCATTCTTGCCTGTTGGCTGGCGTCTCCCCTGAGGCACCTTCAATTCTTGCTGTGACTCCAAAGCACAGAAGTTCAGAAAAATCCCACTTTCCCACTGGTTTCCCCAAGGAAGAGAAGCAAAACCCCTTCCATCAACATTCGTCATGGAGATTTGAAGTCTGGAGCTGAGTAAGCAATGTTCTCTCCAGTCTCGATTTGACCTGACCTTTGGAGTCTTAAGAAGAGAAAAAAATATATAGCTTAATTATTTTACCTAAATCATAGTCTGGTTTAAATGATTTCTTGTGAGCAAAAAGAACACTTAACCACCATTCTCTACATTGTTATTTAGGAAAATTGTGCTCTTGCATTCCAAATAACTGGCTTTCTAAATGATTGTTGGGACACAATTTGTTGAAGCCGTAAGTAAACAGACTATTTCTTTTCAGCTTGTGAAGCTGAAACTCCTTTTTGTACCTCCTGTAATTGGAGCTTGTTGCTGGGTGAGCCATCACGTATCTATCACCTAGGTGTCACTATGGGTAATTATTAAAATGAATCCAAGGACTTGGTATTTGCCAACCTATGCCACCTTTAGTTTTCTTCAAACGTGCCAAGTGGCACTTTACAAGATTCACTTAATTTCCCCCAGAAGGTTCAGAAACTGCAAGAATTCTCATTCCCTCTTGGCTGCTACTGCTCCCTGTTGCTTTCTGTTTAGTCTTCATCTGAGACATAGTGACATAGTGACATAGTGCTGTAGCTGAAAGGAAGGGAAGGACTGGCCTGGAGCAGGTGTCACAAAAGACAGACAGCAGAGCCCCCTTGGTGTTGCCTGTGTCTCCATTCAAGTTGTTGAGAGCTGCCTTGAGCCCCTTCAGTTCCTCATGATCCATTTTATTCCTTAAGATTTATTTATTTATTTGAAAGCCAGAGTTACATAGAAGTCTTCCATCCACTGGTTCACTTTCCAAAAGGCCACAGAAGCCCAGATTGGGCCAAGCTGAAGCCAGGAGTTTGGAACTCCATCCAGGTCTCCCATTTGAGTGGCCCAAATATTTGGGCTGCCTTCAGCTGCTTTCCCAGACTGTTAGCAGGGAGCTGGATCAGAAGTGGAGCAGTCAGGACTTGAACCAGTGCCCATATGGGATGTTGGTGTTGCAGGCAGAGGCTTAGTCTGTTGTGCCACAATGCCAGTCCCAATCCATTGTTTTTAATTCAAGGATGCAGAACTCAGCTCCATGATAATGCTTAAGTCAGTGCTATTCAACCCATGATCTACAGTCCGGTGTTGGTCTAAAGGCTGTTGCCAGTATTTAATAAATAAATATAGAAATTGAGAGAAGGCATTTATTTTTTAACTTTTATTTAATAAATATAAATTTCCAAAGTACAGTTTATGGATTACAATGGCTTTTCCCCCCTATAACTTCCCTCCCACCCACAACCTCCCCCCCACTCCCTCTCCCATTCCATTCGCATCAAGATTCATTTTCAGTTGAGAGAAGGTATTTAAAAGCATTTATAGTCAGCTAACAATGCTGGGACATCCAAGCACAAAATCACTGAATTGGTTTTGTTTAAACAGGGCACACCCAGGTTGGGTGTTAATCTAACTCACCTCGTAATTTATACTTGATGTAAGCAGCATACTGGCCACTCACAGTAAGGTCTTATATTGGCCTGTAAAAGATCAGAAGTAAAAAATGGGAGTTTGAAGGGATGGGCATTTGAATCAGAGATTAAACTGGTGATTGGGATGTCAACATTCCATATCAGAGCTCCTGGGTTCAAATCCCAGTTCTGCTCCCAATTCCAGCTTCCTGCTAGTGCACACCCTGGGAGGCAACAGGTGAGGGCTCAAGTACCTGGGTCCATCCATGTAGGAGACCTGGATTGGATTCTCATCCAGTTCCATCATTTGCAGGCATTTAGGGAGTGAACCAGCAGATAGGAGCTCACTTTCTATCTCTCCATCTTTGCCTCAAATAAATAAATATTGAGTCTTAAAAAAAATCTATAATATGAAAGGCACGAACTTGTGTTAACAAATAAAATTAAAAAAAAAAAACCTCCAAAAACATGTTTTAAAAGCTAGTTCTTCATGATAGATGGCTTTAGAAGCTTCAGTTTAGGCCATTGAAAATAGGCTGAGAGGCAGAGAAAGTTTAATGAAAACAAGTCGGAAAGATCCCAGCCTGGATGACATCCACTGTAAACCGTGTCTTTGGAGCCAGCATTGCACCTTCCTTGTATCTAGCAGAGCAGAAATAACTTGTCCTGTGAACACTGATGTCCAAAAGAAAAGCCACACAGGGACATCTAGTGGCAATGGGAAATCGCTGACCTGCTCCAAGGGAGTTCGAGAATTTCCAAACCACCGGATACTTGAGTGCTTTAGGTTCACTTCCTGAACTTTCCTCACACCCTGGCAACTTAGTCTCCGCATTTGAAGGCAAGCAGGAATCAGAGAGAAATGAAACAGTCTGGCGTGCTGGCCAAGGAAACTCATACCCAACACACTCCTGTAAAAGCTCAATGAAACCACAAGTGAAGGCAGAGCAGGCAAGAGTGCTGAAGGGGTCCAGATAGGAGACCCTCATTTTATGAGCAATTACTTCAATACTCTCTTTCTAGTTGGCTGTAAAACAAGCCTGACCCTTGAGAGGTAAAAAGATGCAGAGCTCCCGAAGAAACAGAACCCATTAAAAATAGCCCTCCAAACTCGTTGATCTATCAATTAGTATGAGCAGTACACTTAATGAGGGCTGCTCGTGAGCTTCACAGTAACACACGAAAGCCGAATCAAAGCCGGCTATGCAGCTTGATAAAAACAAAGCTCTTGGAAAAGAGGCAGGCTTCTCTTGGATTTTGAAGGCAGGACTGAAACTGAAACAGATACAGTTGCATAGGATTTTCATTGTCTGAACCTGTTTCATAGGCAGACAGATGTGCAAATAAATTAAGTCCAAATTAGCTAGTAAAAATTATATTGTGTTTTATTTGAGAAAAATGTTAAAATTCTCTAACCACTCATTTTTGCTATTTTTATGTGCAGCAAGCAAGGTCAACTATTATATAGCACAATTTATGCACCCAAGTAGTTTTTCTTTTCTTCTTTGCTTATTTATTTATTTTAAAGGAAAAGAGAGACAACAGAGATCTTCCATCCACTGGTTCCCTCCCTAAATAACCACAACAACCAGGGCTGGACCAAGTCAAAGCCAGGAGACTGAAACTCAATCTTAGTCTCCCATCCGGGAAACAGAGACCCAAGTACATAAGCCATCATCTGCTACTTTCAAGGATGTATATTAGCAGGAAGTTGCAGTCAGAGGTGGAGCTGAGCCTTGAACCCAGGCACTCTGATATGGAATGTGGGTGTCACATGCATTATCATATCCACTGTATAGAACTCAAAACACCATTAAAGTACTTTTTAAGAAATTATCTAATTGATGTAATCTCAAAGTTCTCCCTTTAGCCCTCCAATCTTCCTCTAGATACTGACATTTAAAAATTCTTAAACTTATTCATTATTAAATTTCCTCTTGATTACAATAGTTTACTGCAGTCAAATTCACATTGAAGTTCAAATTCTATATTAGAACAATTTCTCTTTTCAGGGTTCTCCTGTCGCTCCCCGTCTTCGTGGAGGAACGACACAGGACCCTGCGCTGTTCTTTTGTCTGCTCGGCCCTCCCCGGGGTTGCTGCTGGTTCTTCCCGGGTTGACTACTGTCCCTTCCACCTCCGTGGAAGGGCGGTTCCCCCTGGCCACTTTCCCCACTTCCGCAGGGGAGCGGCACACCGCCGGCCGGCTCTCTCGGGGGCTGCACAGGTGTTCCCCTTAGATGTTCCTGGTGCATGTTGTCTCTCTCCTCCTTTATAGTCCTCTTCCACCAATCCCAACTCTGCTACCCACACGCTGAGTACGCTGCTCTCCTCCAATCAGGAGCAGGTCCTGCTGTTTATTGGTTGAACTGGAGGCAGCTGTGTAGAAGCTGTTTTCTCCTCTCCCAGCGCCATATTGTGGGAGAGCAGATGCATAGAATAAGTCTTAATTCCAGTAACTTAGTCTAGTCCGGGTTGCTCCCCACATTCTCCTCCTTCCTGTAATGAAATTTGGGCACAGGAGAAAGTTTGTGCTAGAGAGGTGGTCTTTATGCTCATGTTCATCAAGTTTATCTCAAAATGTTTGTGGATAAATTGAATCAAAAGATATGTTTATGGGGCTGGCACTGTGGTACAGTGGGCTACGACCCCGCCTGCGGAGCCAGCATCCCATATGGGTGCTGGTTCATGTTGCAGCTGCTCCTCTTCCCATCCAGCTCTCTATGACCTAGGAAAGCAGTAGAAGATGGCCCAAATGCTTGGGCCCCTGCACCCATGTGGAAGACCTGGAAGAAACTCTTGGCTCCTGGCTTTGGATATAGCCATTCCATCAGCAGATGGAAGAACTTCCTCTCTGTCTGACCCTCTCTCTGTCTGTAACTCTGCCCCTCAAATAAATAAATAAAATCTCTTTAAAAAAGAAAAGGTAAGTTTATTTAGGTGCAAAAATTTTGAAATCCATGGTAGCTTTTTGCAACATACACATTTCTCATGAACTTTTTTAAAGATTCCCCTCATATTTCTTCTCTGGTTTCTGTTTCTCTGAGCTGTCACTAGCTCTGCTGGTCTTGGGCATCAGACTCTGCCCTACTAAATCCACTCTAACAAGACCACAGTGGTGAAATCCATGGTCTACCCTCTTGGTATATTGAGTGTCTGGTGTTATCTACCCTTTCCCTTTCCCACTCAACATTTCTTCCTTCTTTGGCTTCTACTTCTGATGTCCACTCTTCCTAAGCTTCTGCTGCAACCCTCACTGTGGTCATCCTTTAGCCAACAGCAATCTCTAGCATCCCACCATGAGTATGTCAGAACTTCAAAAAACCATCTATGAAGGTTTTATCTCTGGACCTTGTCTTTCCAAACCATGTGACACTGAAATGACTATTCCTTCCACCATCTCATACTGCACTTGAGTACTCTGTGAGGTGGACTACTCCCAGTGTTTGCTACTGGGAACAAGCTGTAGAAGTTCCTGAGCACTGTCATAACGAATAACCACTAGCTTAAAATAAACATTGATTCTGTTTAGAAAGTCATAATCTGGAAGTCAGCTTGATAGCGGTTGGTTCTCTTTGGAAGCTCTGAAGGTGAAAGTGTTCCATATCACTCTCCTGCCTTCTGGCTGCCTGTGGCAGCATTTTTTGGTTTCAGTCTGAACAAATCCTCTCTCAGCCTTGGTCTTCACATAACTTTGTGTCTCTGGGTCTGTATCTCGTCCTCTTCTTTTATAGAGATTTATCATTGGATTTAGAATCCATGCTAACCCAGAATACTCTTACGGGCAGATCTTTAATTCAATCACATCTACTCAAACCCTTCTTCCACACAAGGTCACATTTATAGGTTCCAGGGGTTAGAGCTTGTATACAACTTGGGGCAGGGGGACAATATTAAATCAGTTACATGAGACACAACCTCACTAGGATCCCTGTCTTTTCACAGGGACAAAACATCCCAACCCTAGCTTCATTTTCTTTGAAGCCCCTCATCTTTGCATCAGAGGAGTTTTTTCTTCCTGTAATTTTTCAATGAGGAATTTACCTATGTCATACCTGCATTAGTTCTTGCTTGTAGGTTTCTTTATTCTACAAGGACCTACTCCTCTTTTCCTTGGATAATAAGATGTTAGGGCACAGCTCTAATGGCAAAAGAAAAAACAAAATGAAATAAAAACATTTGTGGTTTAAGGGGACGATTATATCAATTGTGAATATATTTCAAAAATACAATTTCTATTTTACATGTACATGCACAGAGTATGCTATATTGTGATATTGTCTCCACATTTCAACATATTACACAAATTTTTAAAAGATATATTTAATTATTTGAAAGGTAGAGTGAGAGGGAGAATAAGAACTAGAGCTCCTTCTTTTGCTGTTTCACTCCCCAAATGATTGCAAAACGAGGGCTGGGCCAGGCCAAATCCAGGAGCCAGGAGCTCCATGCAGGTCTCCCACATGGGTCGCAGGGATGCAAGGACTTGGGCCATCTTCTGCTGTTTTCCCAGGCACATTAGCAGGGAGCTGGATCAGAAGTAGACCAGTCAAGACCCAAACCAGTGCTCAGATATGGGATGTGTGATGCAACGTTAGCCTCTTTAAGACAAATTTTAAGACAGAAACTCAGACTTGGCAAAAAAAAGAAAAGAAAAGAAAAAAATTACTATGTATAAGAATGCCAAAGGGTGGGCATTGTGGGACAGCCAGTTAAGCTGCTGCTTGCGATTTCAGCATCTTATGTTGGAGCACTGTTTCAAAACCCAGTTACTCTGTTTCTGGTCCAGCTTCCCACCACAACTAATGCACCTGAGAAGGCAGCAGAAGATGGCCCAAGTATTTGGGTCCCATCCAACCATGTGCAAGATCTGGGTGGAGCTCCTGGCCCTTTCCTTTAGCTTGGTTCAGAATCTTTGTTGATGCAGCCATTCAAAGGATCTCTCTCTCTCTCTCTCTCTCTCTCTCTCTCTCTCTCTCCTCTCTCTGTCTCTTTCATCTTTCAAATAAATAAATAATCTTTTTTTTTTTTTCAAAGCAAATACTAGAGCAAACATGTGGCCTATGGTTATGTCACTGATTGAGATGCCTACATCCTATATCAGAATGTCTGGATTCGAGTCCCAGTTCTAGCTCCTGACTCCAGCTTCCTGCTAATGCAGACCCTAGAAGACAGTAGTGATGGCTCAAGTAATTGTTTCTGCCACACACATGGGAGACATGGACTGAGTTCTTGGCTTCTGGCCCAGGTCTTTTGCAGACATTTGGGAAGTGAATCAGCAGATGGAAATTTTGTCCATCTGTCTCTTTCTCTCTCTCTCTCTCTCTCTCAAATCAATCAATCAATCAATAAAATTTTTAAAATGCTAGTCACAGGGGCCAGGACTGTGGCATAGTGGGCTGAGCCTCTGCCTCCAGCACTGGAATCCCATATGGGTGCCAGTTCAAGTCCCAGCTGATCTTCCTATCTGGCTCTCTACCATGGCCTAAGAAAGCAGTGGAAGATGGCCCAAGTGCTTGGGCCCCTGTAACCATGTGGGAGACCTGGAAGAATTTCCTGGCTCATGGCTTCAGATGAGCCCAGCTACAGCCATTTGGGGAGTGAACCAGCAGATGGAAGCTCTTTCTCTCTGTCTCTCCCTTTCTCCATCTGTAACTCTGCCTGTCAAACAAATAAATAAAATCTGAAAAAAAAAAGTGCTAGTCACAAACATCAACCAAAAACAACTCAGCTTTATATAAAACCTTCTTCTATGGAGAAAAAACATTTAAGTCTTATTTCACCAGGCACCATCTAATTCATAGCTTTTGATGAGCTATAGTTCTAGGTCTTAGAAGAATTTTCTCACCTTTACCTTATTTTATTTATTTTATTTTATTTTATTTTATTTTATTTTATTTGACAGGCAGAGTGGACAGTGAGAGAGAGAGACAGAGAGAAAGGTCTTCCTTTTTGCTGTTGGTTCACCCTCCAATGGCCGTCGCGGCCGGCTGATCCGATGGCAGGAGCCAGGTACTTATCCTGGTCTCCTATGGGGTGCAGGGCCCAAGTACTTGGGCCATCCTCCACTGCACTCCCTGGCCACAGCAGAGCGCTGGCCTGGAAGAGGGGCAACCGGGACAGAATCCGGCGCCCCAACCGGGACTAGAACCCTGTGTGCCGGCGCCACAAATATAAATATAAATATAAATATAAATATAAATATAAATAAATATAAATATAAGTATAAATAAATAAATAAACTCTGAGTATCTTTCACTCAATGTCAACAATTAAGTCACAGATAACTTTGCTTTCTTTATCCTGACACCCACTTGTCCTCCTCTGTCCCACCTGTGAATTCTGAAACTATCTCAGACATCACATCATCTTTATACAGTCCAGTGTCATTCCTAAAACAGAGACTCTTGTTATATAGTCAATACCATAATCCAAACCAGAAAACAATAAAATAATTCTTAATATTAAACATTTATTGTTCATAGTTTCCCAAGTACCTACCATTTTCTACTTAAAAATTAGAACCCAAGTAACATCAACATACAGCAAGTGAATGATGGTACATCTGTCAAGTATATTTAAATCTACAATTCTCTCTCTCCCTCCCTCCCAGTAGGCTTTGTTGAAAAAATTGGTTGCCTATCTTGCAGTGTCCTCCTCCATATGAATTTTTCTGGCTTCATCTTTATGAGTTTTTTTCTTTTTATTTCTTACAAAGTTTTACTCAAAAATCAGAGATTTGTGAAGAATTTTGTTGGCATTTTTATCCAGACCACTTCCTAGATGGTATTGTGTGTATTTATAAATGAATTCATCATTTCTGGTTGTCTTTTTTTGCGTTAATAGTAGCCCTTGATAATCTTTGCTTAGATCTATTGACTCATTAAGTGTTGGAGAGATAAATTACTTCTTCAATTACTAGCTGATTTGTTTCTAAAAAGAGACACTGTCCCCTCATCAACTACTAGGTTTGCTGAGGTCCAGTTTGTAGAGTACAGGCAAAATAAATGCTTGTGATTTTGCTTTGTTTTCTCTTTTATTTGTTTCTATTTTCAAAAAGAATAAGATTCTTAACACCTTACAAATAAGATCATACACACACACACACACACATATATACACATACCACATACACATTCAGTTACATATATATAATAAATACAACAATATTTCAAATCTTTTGAAGTGCTGTCACTCACGTACAAATCTCTGTGGAGAATGCAATTAAAAATAAATTTATTTTGGTGCAAAAAATTTTTGAAACCTATACACAGCTATTCCATGATATGCATTTCCCATGAACTTTTTGAAAAACCCCTTATATGCATCATTTCAAATTTCTTTGCAACAAAGTGCACTTATATTTCAATTCCATGTTCCATGAACTTTTGGAAGTACCCTTGTATAGGTTTTTTATGAAAGCATGGATTTAAACAACTTTCACATATTACATTTTATTGGCATGGGAGCCCATTCACTTAAGCCCTGAGTCCTTTAGGCGTGACACCAGTCATCTTGAATACCTTTCTTGTTTTCTGATATGAGAAGTTATATACCAAGTTCATCTCATATTTCCTGCATCTGGCTGCCAGTTCTATTCTGTGGACATAAAGAATTTCATTATCTTTGTTTTGTTTTAGATAAAAGACATCATCAGATCATATTTCCAATGCAAATTCAGCATCACACAGTTTTTACTTAACCTCATTGATTTCGTATGTGTATCTCCTCTCTGCCACTTCCAGAATCCTTGTTTTCCATGACATCAATATAATTGTTCATATTTGTTTCATTCACACTGCATACACTACAGTCTCAGAATAATATAGATACTGCAATCAATAATGTCAGTGCTAGTGCAAAGGGTTTTTGAAGTTCCTTTACCCCACTAGAGATGTGCAATCAAACTTTATCCTGACGGCCACTTGGGCTAGTTTCTCTGTGATAGGTTACATCATCAACAGGAATCACATTGAGGTTTCTTTGTTTCTTTTCAGAAGATTGTTCTTTGTATTAATTAAACTTTTATTATGTGATATATCTGTGTTTCCAAAGTCACATCTTCAAAACAATTTTTAAAAAAGTTCCTATTTTCTCCCCTCTACTCTAGTCCTCCTTTCTCATTTCTAGTGAGCTATTTTTCTAAACTTTAAGATGTCTTCATTGATTTTAAAAACATAAGCACAAAAACATGTATATGTTACAAATAGAAGGGTACTTTAAAAAGTTAAAGGAAAAATATATCAAGAAAAGAATTATGCATGGATTTTTTCCATCAACCAGTTTACTCTCCCAAAGGCTGAAACAGCCAAGTCTGGGCCAGGATGAAGCCAGAAGCCAGGAATTCCATCCAAGTCTCCCATGTGGGTGGCAGGGGCCCAGACAGTTGGGCCATCTCCTGCATCTTTCCCAGGTGCACTAGCAGGGAGCAGGGTTGGAAGCAGAGCAGCAGAGCTTGGAGCCAGTGCTCCCATGTGGGATGGAAGTGTCACAATTAGCAGTTTAATCTACTGTGCCACAATGCTGGACACTCAAAATTTTTTTTCAACAAACTCATTTGGTCTTTGAATTCCATTCTGAAGTGCCCATGTTCTTATATTCTGGAGACTAATCCACAGCAGCCATTTATTTATTTTTTTAAAGATTTTATTTATTTATTTGAAAGGTAGAGTTACAGACAGTGAGAGGGAGAGACAGAGAGAGATATTCCTTCCGCTGGTTCACTCCCCAAATGGCGAAACAGCTGGAGCTGTGCCGATCCAAAGCCAGGAACCAGGTGCTTCTTCCTGGTCTCCCACATGGGTGCAGGGCCCAAGCACTTGGGCCATCCTCCACTGCTTTCCCAGGCCATAGCAGAGACACAGCAGCCATTTAAACAGGTAGGAATGTTCTCATTCTTTTTACAGCTGCATAATAATCTATTGTATGAATCATCTTAGTTCATCTCAACATTCTTTCTATTGGTGAATATTTTAATTATGTGTAGTAGCTTGCTGTTACAAATGGTGCTTCAATAAATAGCCTTACTTGCAAGTACTTTCATTTATTTGTCTAGAGATTCTTTGGGATGGAGTCCCCAAAATAGGAATCTATGTAATATTTTTACTATATATTTTGAAATATACTTTAAATCTCTAACTC